GGGGTGAGCACGTTCAGGGCTGCCTCTTCTACAAGTAATGATCGGCTAGAGTTCGATATAGGACAAAAACAACTATCGGATAGAAAATGCCACAGCTGGGCTTGTTTCATGCTTCTTGACACCTTCACGAACGATTACGAGTGGCTCCTTCAGCGGAACTGTGCTGCTGGTGGCACATCCGCAAAAACCGGGCCCAATAGCATACCTGCAGGGTTGCGCCCTCGATATTCAGCAGTGATGTGGTCCATGCATTCAACTGTTTGTAATGAAAGAGTTTCGTGAATCTGGTATTACGTCAGCCCATCAGATCCTGGGGTATGTTTTATTACAACGCGCTGTAGCTCTGACTCATCAGTTCTGATTCTGTCAACTCGATAGATCATGTGTTTTTCTCAGTTTCAGCGCCCTCTTCAATGGAGGTCTACCCAGAACCAAAACCAACTAGTGTACTTCAAACTCAAGAATATGAGAAAGTGAAGGTGTTGATGAAGTGCGGGTACCAGACAAGTGGTTCGATCATTGCGACAACTGCCGCAGTTCAACCGCTGAAATGTGGCGGGTGTCAAAAGAAAAACCAGCTGGGCTGGTCCAACACAAGCAGTCAGACTTACTTAACAGCACTCCAGATGAAGCGGCCAGATGGAAACAGGGCGCCTTCTAGTCATAAACATTTGAGCTGTTTTGAACTTCACATCCCGCGAAGAGCATTGGATGCACAAACCGCATTCTTCTTAAAGGCATAAGGCACGACAATCTGGTGTGTAAAATCCAAAATGGTAGCAGAGGTGCTGTTTGGTGGGGCAGTGGCAAAAAAGCAAAGTGAAACGATCAAAAATCTGCAAAAAACCTTTGTTCCTCACAACTCAGAACGTAATTTGGGACAGGTTTCCCGCTAGCATCGTGCGCAGCCGCTTTACCAGTCCGGTCGCTTCATATTTTACATCGCACCTGAAGCAGTACGAGCATCAGGTAAGTCGTCATTTGTGGGCGGGCGGGCGCGGTGGGCGTCCGGTCGGTATGTTGCAGCAGCTTAGTACGAGCTTATTCAGGTGGCTTCCTATGGAAGACGGTGAAATGGCGGCTCTTGGAGACACGCTGCTCGGGGCGAATCGCCGAATTCCCGTCTGCCAGGCGCACCATATCCCAACTCATTTTAGGTACCTATAGCCGCCACTGTCCTTTAATCCCACACATGTGGAGCATTCATTAAAGAAGACCGCGATTACTCGCCATCTCAGATGGTGGATTAGGGGGTTCCATATAGACGACAAGGGTTGAGTAACTCGACTGTGAACAAAAAAAAAAGCACAAAAAGACATGCCAACTGCCCTAGATAGAACCCCATTTCGATCCCGGTTTTGTACGTGCCCAATCGACTGTATCTCTCCAGAGCTACGCCCTCATATGCAGAGCTGATTCACCGATAATATTTCTACTATCGTACCGAATGACATTATCATGCTTTTTCGTTCTGTAGTCTCATTTTTCACTGGAAGTCGGTCCATTAGGGGCGGAGTCTGGAGGCGGAGTCCACTGGAAAAAAGGAGGAGCCACTGAACCTATATTGCGCCACAGCGAGCGCTCCCATAGCGAATAGAATTTTTTGCCGCGAAATTGGTACAAGGTTGTTCGTCGCGGGCCACACTAACCTCCTGACGCCATATTTTCAACTTCGATACCTGATCGCGGACCGTACCTTTAAGCCACTTCTTTTCAAGCGGACGACTTTGAAAAATCCTGTCTTGTTATGCGAGTCTTAATCAGCTCACATGGGCGCGGTGAAAACCCTGTGTTTCCTAGTCCAGGAACGTGGGGCAACACATGTGAATGTTACGCAAACACCTACTTCACGCGATGCTGAAATGCTCGCTATCGCTTCTCATTTTAGGAACAGCAATAAACCATGATATAAAGGCAGCTTGTGGGGCTGGCACGGATATATAAGTACATACATGCAGTCCATATATCTAACCGTAGTGGTGTATTGGAACGCACGCAATGGAGAAACATCGTCGGCAAAAGTTGCTTTCTGAGATCATGGTGAAAAAGGCTTTTTGCAGGTTTATTGACCGTTTCACTTCGCTTTTTCGCCATTCTCCCACTATACAGCACCCCTGCTACCATTTTAGACCGAGTACTGAATTATCGTGATTCATGCCTTTAATCTGAACGACATATCATGTGATAGCGGCGCCTTGTACCTCTCACTCAACTCCGTCCCAAAGACTACATACAGCGATGCAATCCCCCGCCCTAGCCCTCCCAGTCTGCCCCTGCTCTGGCTGTAATCTCCGATAGTCAAAATTTGGAGAATGCTATGTTACAATGTTGATTCATCCGTCGTCCGCTGGTAATGCAGGACATCCCAAATGAGGCATCGTCCACGGAGAGCATTTTCTTAACAAACCACCCTGACATGCTACAGCACTGTCATGTTGAACTAATCGGGTCCTGGTGCGAATGTCGCGTACGTGACGCCATTTGCAACATCTCTTTGCTACTCGCCCCTCCATCTGCGTGCGTTTACCAAACCTCCTGGTAATCAATTCTCCCACCACAACTCCTTTGACAATCCTCTTGTTAAGTAAAGTGTCGAAACAGTTGCCTTTAGAGTTACCTGAGCCACTCCTCAGGGTCGAGTAAACCGTCACTGTTCAAGTCAGCTCTATCGAATGTCGCTCGCTCAGTTCCAGCAAAAGAGTCTTAAAAGGCGATTCAAAAAACATAATAAAATATAATCAGTGGACCGGAAAAGCTAGAAAGAAAAGCCTGCACCGACGCCGTTGACATTCTCATGATCATGTCCATCTTTGTGAGAATCCTTAGAGAGGTAGTGTGGTTCATACTCGCTCCATGACACCTAAAATACAACATTTCTAGCCACAATGAATCCACGGTGGATATCTTCCAATGGTTTCTCCTAACCCCCACAATACGAAGGGCACACAGAATCCCGACCGACTTCACAAACTCGAATGGCTAACTGTACTTTAAAGGCAGTTGGCACGATAAATCCCCCAAGACGAGTAGGATTAATACGCCTGGCAGGACGGAATTCCGCGACCCTGAGCAGGCGCTGCATAGCGCCTTTTCCAAGGAAGGTGCCCTTATAAGGGCCCTATCAAGCCACAACATACCGACCCAAACGCCCGCCACGCCCGCCCGCCCACAAATGGACGACCGTTCCTGACGCTCTAATCGATTCATTTGCTAAGCAAATTATGAAGCGAAGGGATTGGTATGAAGCGGCCGTGATGCTGCATGGATATATGAGTACACATA